AAATAGCAAATATGTATAATCAATATACTATTGATAGGTGATGTCTGGATATTTTATACTATTCAATAAAAAACTTGTTTTTCAATCTTAATGGTAAATATCTGTGTCTATAAGATAGATTCTGATGAGACGAACCAATCAATATCTCACTATTTTATTGATAAGAAACAAGCCTTGATAAACATGATGAGACTACCAATAAGGTCAAGCATCTAAGCTGATAATGGTCGCGAAGACATGATATACATCTCTAAAAGTCGTGACATCGGAGAAAGAGAATTTTTTTCGAAAAAATTTTCATCGTTGATTCTAGATCACGTGGCGAATTTCAAACCGTTTATCCTTTTTTGTTTACTGATCACATCATCTAAACAATCATTTTTCGACGTTCTCACAAGTTGGATAAAGCACAATATGCGATCACATATGTTGTGCAAGAAAACTACAAATATTTTTATCCTGGTTTGAACAGAATGTACTCGAACAGTACTGGTTCGCTAAGTTTTGAGGAATCTTATCTGATTATATAGACATCCTTATTTCCTAATTGTAAAAGAGTACAGATTCGTTTATTATCAACATGTGTTGCAAAAACCGTCATCTGATTCTTAACCACTAATTAAGTAATTTTTAGTTTCCCCATGATGCGATTGTTTGTCAAAGAAATTTGATCATCTTTACTAAAAATATTGTTCACTATATCAAGAAATGTTTAATGTATACGTATGACTAAATTATACAAGAATGTAAAATAAAAAATATTGTATGTACTGTATGTAATAAAAATTTAATATAAATATGTCCATACCAGGATACAGCAAACAATTTTACATTATATCTACTTAGTCCATGTTGGGTATACTATCTGAAATAAGGGGCGAGCGAGCCACAAAGCTTTCGCTGGCGTACCTTGGTGCACTTATTACATCGTCGGTTTGTGGTACACAATATCTCTTCTCCGCGTATAGTACCGCGTTGGCGGATCGATTGGGATTCAATTCGGTGCAGATAAATACAATTGGCAGCGCTATAAATTATGGAACTTACTTGAGTGGTCCGATCTCTGGATATATTGTCGACAATTATGGTCCGAGAAGGTGAAATTAACACAGTTTGGATAGATGATTCGTTGAGTAGATGCTAATGTTTGATCTTAATTTAGAACGTGTTTTTTTTCCTCGTTTTTCATATTTACTGGATATTTTTGCCTGGCAATGACTTATGGAGGAGTCTTTCCATCATCATCATTCCTTTTGTGTGCTCTATACCTTCTCTTGGCCGGGATGGCATCATCAGCAGGTGATCTCATCTTGTTGGAAGAAAGCAAGTCAAAATTAAAATAAAAAATCATTATTAACTTTAATTCCTATAGCTTTCAACTCGTCTCTTGTGACAGTCGTAAGTCTATGTTTTTATCTGCATCTGCAATTCTCTTTGTCAATATATTTACCTATTTCTTTCTGTGATTCGTTTATTCAAAGGCCAGAAATTTTGTATCGAACCGTGGTATCGCTTTCGGTTTCCCAGTGGCTTTGTTTGGCCTTTCTGCCTTTATATTTGCCCAAATAAACAATATAATTTTTACGAGGGACACATATGATTTCTTGATTTTCCTCGCAATTGCAACTGGTTTATCTATGCTTGTCGGCAGTTTGTTTTTGGTAGCAATGCCTATTGAAGGTGAATTGGTTGTTAGCGCAGAGAGGACTGATCGGATTTCCGAAACTCGATCGGGCCCATCGTTTTCCAACAACGAAGGCGACCTAGAAGTGGACCGAACGGAAGATGCACCTCTGATACCTAAGAAACGTTCTTTAACTTATATTCAAGAACCGGATATTGGCGGTTGGGAACTATTTAATAATCGAGATGCACTTTTTCTTTGTATTACCTTGTTTCTACTCGGCGGAACTGGATTGATGTATATTAACAATGTTGGGGCTATCATCAAATCTTTGTACCTTAATTCATCCGAAAATTCGAATCCAAATGTTCTGAACGGTTTTTCGGAGGAAATGACACAGGAAATTCAGAGATTACAAAACCTTCATGTTTCTTTATTATCAATAAGCTCTTGCTTTGGTCGAATTTCTGCGGGGATCTTTTCTGATATTACCCGAAATTTGTACAATATTCGACGAATAATTTATATTATCTTATCAGGAATATACCTTTTTATAGGCCATTTTCTTGCAGGCTTCATGGTAAAATCTCTTGGTATGCTATATCCAGTGACAATTTTGGTAGGATTAGGGTTTGGTACGATATTCTCTATTGCGCCAACAATTACAAGCGAATGGTTTGGATCACGTAGATTCGGTCTCAATTGGTAACTAATAATGAACATTCCAGCAAAGAATATATCATCGTTAACAAAATAGTAATCTGTCTATTATCTTTTAATTAGGGGAATAATGTCAATGGTGAGTTTTCTCTTCTTTAAATCTTTCTTTCGTTCAACCTACGTATTTTCAAACTCATTCACTGATATGTTCATAGTTTCCGGCTTTTGGAGGTCAATTGTTCAACTTCATTTTCGGTTTCAACAGCGATCTGCATCAAGGGAAGTGTTCGGGAGACGAATGCTATAACAAAGCATTTTACTTCAGTACCCCAGGAATTATATTATGTCTTTTTATTTCCACAAGATTATTTCTGAGAAAAATAAGACGAGAGAGTTAATTAGTTAATCGTTAAATAGACCAATCCTTTGATCATACTCGCAGATGATACTTTATCGGATCAATCACAGCCTTCATAAATAAGAAGGTTCATGTTGTATGGATTACTTGTTTGGTACGCAAGACGCTGCCAAGTTATATAGTAGATATTTCTGCATTATAAATAGATACAATATATTTAAAAAAGTTATAGGACTAAAATAATTTCATACATTTTTTCTTACAGAAATTAGACGTTACTAATTGTTTAAAAATTTTTGTACGGCAGATTAAAAGGATATTTATTTCAATATGTTTTATTGTCCGGTTTTAGTTTGATTTTTTTCTCTACGATATCAAGTCAGAGGCATAAAGAATATTACTCCGTATCTTCGTTCCTCTAGTTTTATTGATCGTGTGGACTTTTCACTGTTCAGAAACTCAAGAGAGGGTCGAATATGTTGCGATGGATCTTTGTAATTCTAATCTTTTGTTTTCTCTTCTATGCGTCAATGTCCGCGCGTATGGTCGTGTAACGGTGAATACGCATAAATTAATCGCGGGATCAAAATTTTTTAACTTTATCTATCAAAATCAAGAACATGCCGAAATACATCTATTCACCTATTATGGGTGTCATTCG